TAACGAAAGTGATGAAACAAGCAATTTGTGTGCTAATGGATGTAAAGTATATTCAATGACTCGATAGTTTTAATGTTTCATAAATCTTGCGATAAACTTTTTTTGACAGATTAAAAAAATTGATACTTTTTTTGAGATTTTTGAGATAGATTTTGCGGAATTTTTATGAGTTTTGATGTATTTTTGAGGTTATGTGATCGGATTGATCAAGCTGATAAGCATTAGATTTAAAATTTGACTGCCGTGCGTCATATTGGGAAGACAGTAAACTTTTTCTCCGAATATGACGCACATAAAATATTTTTAAATTTTCTCAAGTTTTCATTTGAAAAAAATCTAAAGTTTTTCTCATTTTTCCCATCAATTCACCTGCAATTACCACCAATTCCCCCCAATAAAAAAACCGAAAATGATACAATCTTCATGTCTGCATCCACAAATTATCATCTTCTTACCTTTCTCAAATAAAAATAAAATTCAAAATCAGCACGAAAAGAAAAAGTCGTCGAAAACCTAACCCAAAATCTAACGGTAAAATCTTCATCCTCATTCATTCATTCATTCATCGTTCTTCTTATTTTCTCATGTCTTTCAATATCTCTTCTTTTTTTTTGCTGTTACTGCTTTGTCTTTTCCACTTCTGAGTATCTGTCCTCGTAAAATCTCCTGCATAAATTTAATTAATTTATATTATAAATCCGGCAAATCAATTTCTTCTGTTGAGCTGCGTTTTGGATAGAATGAAAATTGGAAGTTTGGAAGGAGTTAAGGGTTTGGTGGGATTGAAGCGATTTTATGGAAACTTCTTAAAACTAAACTTATCCTTCACACACTGAACCTAAATCGTAGAAATTTGATTTTTCATTTAGAACTCAATTTATCTTTCAGAAACCGATCTTATCCTTCGGAAACCGATCTTATCCTTTTTAAACTAAATTTATCCTTCAGAAACTGATCTTGTCCATCAGAAAGAAACTAATTCTTTATAAACTAATCTTATCCTCCAAAAACTAAAGTGGTTCTTTAGAAACTGCGCTTTTCCTTTAGAAACTAATCATATCCTTAGATACTGAACGTATCCCATACCAAATGAAGCCTTTGATTCAATTTTCATGGACACTAAGCCAAAATCAATTCACAGAACCCCCAACACCCCATTCAACCTCACATCTCAAGCACAAAACTTTCTGCAAAAAAAATTATTTTTCCACTTTTTCGCATTAAAAAAAGAGAATTTTTCGCTACAGCAACGGAGATTCATTCTTTTGTTGTGTCTTTTTTTATTGCCTTCTTCCTATCAGTCTCATGACAACAGCGATTCCCTCTCCTTCTTATTCCGAATTTTGCTTTCTTTATTGGATCTTTCTTGTTGTTATTTATCTTATTTCCATTGTCTGATTTTTGTATTTTGTTAATTTTTTAAAAATACTTTTTTTTCTGTCTTTTTTTTTATTCAGCAATTTTTTAATGCGAATTAATTTTGTTTTGTCTTTCGATGAATTTTTTTCTTTTCTTTCGATTTGTTTTATTGTTGGATTGTTTTTTTTTTTGGTGATTTCGTTTTAAGTGGTCAATGAAGGTACAGTTATGATTGAGTAGATGGAGATTAATGGGATGTTGACTTTTGGGATGTGTTGTTAGTCGAAATCTGGTGTCTAGAGGTGCTTAGTATCCTTCCTAATGTACCATGACTTTCTTTTATTATCCTAGCTCATTACAAGACCATTAAAATTTACAAGAAAATGTGGTTCAAATAAGTGTGAAGTATGGTCGAGATTTGGACCAAAATCAACTATACTGGTTCATAGTGTTCCCGAAGGTGGCAAAACTCAAACTAAGTGTTTTTGTAACTGACAAAATCTGACATAAATTAGGTAAAACTTTTGAACTGTGTGGATATAGGTCTCGGCCGTACTTTACGGCCACACAAATATTTCTGAACATTTAGGCAGTAGCCAGGTGGAAGATAAACCAAAAAAACAAAGATATTTCGAGAACTAAAATTAAAGTTAAAGATTAATCAAATTTTAAATTTTTTTAATTTCACATTTTAGATCAGTAAAAAATTTTTTAATTCATTTATTTAAATATAATATAATTCACAAATAACATAATGTAATACAAAAGGTTTAATTTTAAATTTTATTGGGTATGTACAAGGTTAACCACTATATATTTTTTATTATTATTATTATTTATTTGTCGATGTTACCGTCCGGAAGAATTAGTATTTATTCATGTTTTACTTTTTACATTGATACTATAATATATACTTTTAATATATAATACTATAATTAATTATTCATATTCATTGAGCATTTTTAAATGTTTTAAAAATTAAATTGCTGTTCTTTTTTCATTTACATAGATTAAGGGCGATTCTACGAATGATTTTTTCTACAAATTTGTCTCCAAATCTATATTTCTCATTATCAGTTGCATTACTCCCCATGTTTCATGTATTTAATAGTAGATTTTACCGAGATCTACATATTGTTCTCACCCAAACATATTAAAAATGGTTAATTAAAGAATTATTTACATTCTACGAAAAATTACTCTGTTTCACATGAATTTTTTCGCCCAAATTTCCAAAATTTTTTCATTAATATCTTTAAGGTGGTAAAATTTCCAATAATACTATGTATACAAAGTTATAGCTTAAAGTAAAAGCTTCAAAACGATGTCAAAATCATATTTGTGGAAGCCTTAATTAAGCTGCAATTTGGATTCTACGAAAAATTTCATAAGTGAAACAGAGTAAATTGGAGACAATTCCAAAAATAACTACCAAATATTAAAATTGAAACCATGAATTTCTCAAGCCATAGCTAAGTAATTTGAGTGCAGATGTAATCATAATTCACAGTTTAACCAATAGAAAAGGAAATGAGAATTAGATTTTTGAAAAAATATGCACAAGTGAAAATAAAATAAGTAAAAAATTTCATGCAATTGACATGGATTATTTTCATGAAACCTTTTCGTAGAATTGCCCTTAAACAATAAGATAATTTAATAAAAATAATAATAATAATAATAATAATAATAATAATAATAATAATAATAATAGTAATAATAATTCATATTCACTCCAAATTTTTAATTTGTGTTCTATTTGTGGGTAATGTAGGAAAACCACTTTGAAACGGACCAAAAAACCTTTTAACCAGACATCGTAGAGAGTTCTAGTTTGTTTTATTGGGCAAGACCGTTTTTCGATTAAGTGTCAGATTTTGATGGTTTTAGGTCTATTACTCTTAAACGACAAACCTTACAATAAAACTTGATATATTGTTTTATAGAACTTTTTGATGCCTATCTTTTGGTATATAAATTTTTTTCGGAAGTGCTGTACTTAAGGCTGTGGAGTCTAAAAAGTGACAAAATCTGACACTGAATTTTTGGGAAGGGTATTTGAAATTTTACTAAAACTAGTCTATCTCGCTTAGTTTTACACCGATTTCGATAATTTTTTCAGCAATAGATAGTTTAAAACTACAATTATCATTAAAAAGTAATAAAAACAAAATGGCGACTTAATAAGTTAATTTAATTAATGTTTTTAACCTTATTTTCCTATATTTTACATTAAATTTTTAACTTACTTAATTTTTTTCTTGACACAAATAAAGTTTTAGACCTTGGCTTTATGATAGAAGCCAAAAAATTTTGAAAAAAGTAGTATAATTAACTTTTTTTGGTCATTTTGTAAAATTGCCTTTTAATGGCAATTGAATAGATATTCTTTTAATTTTATGATGTAAAATGATAATTATACATCAAATATGCTTAGTTCTAGCAAAATATATCACAATATAATGTTATAGAACAAGAAAAAAGCAAAAACTTTAAAAACTTTAACCAAAAATTTTTAACCGTTTTTGAAAAAAAAAAAAAAAAAAAAAAAAAAAAAAAATTTAAATTTTTGAGTTGATTAAAGAGTTGTAAAATAAACTTTTTGTTAAATTAACTAAATTAGAAGGCTTTATTGCAGTAAACTCTTGCAGGAAAGTTGTAATTTATCATTAATTAATGCTTTTTGAGGGACATTAATGAAAATTTCATTAAATTTATATGTAAAATCAATTTTGGTTAATTTAACTAATTTTGTGTATTAATTTGAAAATGTGTGTATGATAAATGAAAGAAAATAAGATTCTCAACAACTTTTATGAACATATCAGCTCCTTTTACAGCTTCCTTCTTGGATAAAAATCACTTTGAATATTTGATTTAGTAATTAAATTAACTTATGAAGTCGCCATTTTGATTTTTTTTGGTTAAAAATTAAGTTTTTATATTTGGCTATAAACCACTGAAAGAATTATGAAGATTGAACAACTAAACTCTAAGTAAATCAACTTTCAATATTTATTCACTTTTTTCGCGGTCTTGCCCTATTAGATCAGGTCCATTGTTTTATTTTCGGGAAACGCATTTAAAAATCTTTTAACAGTGTTTTTGTACTATAATTAATATTTGTGCTATTCCTGGCTAGCAGTGGCCAAAATTTCAGCGTGATTGGTATTAATTAATTAAATTAACTTTTAAAATTTTTCACCTAAAAAGTCACGTGATTATTTTGGGCGAAGTCACTAAAAAGTTGGCTTTTTTCACAATCCTCCGGTCGCGGTTTCGAGCCTCGTCGCGAGCAACTTTTGTTTTATTCATTTTTACAATTTCTTGATATATTATTGTTTGTTATGATGTTTGGTGATAAAATTTTCCATTTTCAAAATTTTCCGAGTTTTTCTTGAAGATTTATACTTTTTTCCATACATTTTTCAAGCAAATTTAACATTTTTGTCATAAATTTTGCATCTTTTGTCTATTTGAAATGAAATTTGGGATGAAGGTCTATTGGTTGTTCCTGAATATGGAACCGATGGCATTTTATGGTTCCAAGGGTTGGAAACCAATGTAAATGTTTTTTTTTCAAATATTTTTGGACCGTTATTTTTCAAATGTATTGAGTTTTTAGATTTTAATTTAAACTCGAATTCTGTGCAGGGAAAATGCGCTTCGGTCGATCACGTGTGATCACCTCTTTACTAGTTTGTTTTGTATATTATACTCAGATGGTAAGAATGTATTTAAATTTTGCTGACCATAATGATCTTTAAAGTTAGGAGTCTAAGCATACAGCGGATATATCATTTTAGGAGTATTAGTGGATAATTGTGGGATATTATATCGTGGTGAAAAATCGGGAGAAAACTTCGTCAAGTCATTAAAAAATGAGTTTGAACTTGCAATGTTCTCAGCTGGACACACGAGTTGGCTTTTTTCATTATTATTCCACAAATCATGAAAAAGTGTAGGAAAGTTTTCTAAAATAAATGTAGTAAGTTGAAAATTGTTATGATTAAATATGTTGTTTTCTTCAGTTTCATTACGTACAAAACCCAAAAGTTCCTGTTTTTGTTCGTGAAAAGATTTCAAAAAATTTGTATATCTTCCTTCATCAAAATTTTCTCCTCTTAAATGTTCAGTTGGATTTTCAATTTTTTTAGAATTATTGAAAAAAAAATCACTAACTTTTTGTAAATCCCAGAAAAATGGATGATTTCGAATATCATGAAAATTAAATCTTCGATTTGGTTCAAAAAATAATGTTTTTTGCATCAAGTTTTTTAATAAAAATATTTTATAGCTATCCAAAATCATCACATAGTCTAATGTACGAAATTTGATTTTAAATTCTTTGTTCATAATGTTTTTACATGTATGCGATCTATTTTTTTCGAATGGATTATATAAAGTAAAAGAAAAAAATATACAACAAAATATGCTAAATATATCAGCTGCTTCATGATTATCAAATTGTTTTCCATTCATGCGAAATAAAATTAACTCTGGAGCTGCAAAGTCATTTGGACCAAATCTACTGCTTAGTGGAATCACTGGATTTTCTTTACTATTTCTTGACATAAAGAAATCTAAAAAGTAAACTGCACAGTTCTTATTAATTGCAATTCCATCCGGATTAATATTGAAAATATATATATTCTGTTGATGCAATGACTCTATTTCGCTAAGTATATTGATAATAATTTTTTCAACATTTTTTTCGGTATAATCTTCACTTTTTACAAATGAAGTGAGGGTATAGTCAAATTTTTCATATGCTACATAATGGTAACCTGAAAAAGGCATACACCTTATACGATATAATATAAATTGACTTTTCTTCTCGAATGCTTTATAACAAAATTGACAATAGAAATCATTATTAATTTTTTCTTTTAACATTATTATGTCTTCACGTTTTTGATTATTGTTCATAATGTATCCTTCATTTAAATCTTTATTTTCAGTCAAAGATTTTTTTTCAAGAAATAAATTATCACAAATTTTTCTGTATTTTTCGACCTTAAAAATTTGAAAAAAAAAATTTATCAAAGTTTTGATACTTTTTATCTAAAAATTAAATTTTTTATCATATACTTACAATGGTATTATTACTTGCACTCATCATTTTGTTTTGCAATCGATTGTGGAATCAATTTCTGTATGATAGTAAAAAAAAGCAGAATAAGTTTATTTGTGATAAAATCCTCGTTTCTTTAATAATATAGGTAAGAGACGTGAAAATAGTCGTCTGACCAACTTTGAAGTGTCATATCTTAAAAATGAAAAAAATTGAAACGACTTAAGTTGACTAGAGTTAATTAAAAAAAAAATTAACTGATAAAACCGCTATCAAATCAGTTCAAGGTGTAAACTTGGATTAGATAAAATACATCCTGGTACGTAAAATAACAATGAAGAAAGAAATGTTTCACTACATTTTGAAATGAATAATTTTTGTACGATATTGCAAATGTTTTTTTTTTTTGTTTAATAACTTATTTAACGTTTCTCAAGGGTGTGGTACTGATGAATGATCAAAATTGGTCAAAAATGATCAAAACGTAATTCTTCAGTTCCACAACTTTGGTTTTACTTTTATTTTTGAACAATATGAAATTTTAATGTATCTGTATGCATTATTTCCTTTAAAAATTAAACAACAAAAATGAATTGAAATAGTTCTTTATTCAAAAATTAATCAGATTCAATATCTGTCTATAATCTACTCGGAGATCAGCATTAAAATATTTTTGGTTGAACGCACTTATAAAAGCAAGCAGAATTTATTTGAAATTTATTTATTTGTTTTCAAACAAGCTCGAAAAAAGCTGCTCGTTACAGCTTATTTTAGAAAATTATTTAAAACAATTTTAAAAAAATAATTAAAAGAAATAGTTTTAAAAAATTCAGAAATTTCTTACCATCAACTTTATTATTTACTTTGAATTTCTAGTTTAATATTGAATGGACGTGATTGTCAACATGAGCATTAAATAAAAAAATCGTTGTAGAGTTTTTATCATTTTTAAAGAGGGGCTGCCCAATTTTTAATTAATAAGCTGCGATTTAAAGTTTAAAAATACTTTATAAAAAAAACTTTTTAAAAAAACAACGTTTTTACCCATGGACTAAAAAGTAGAAAATAACTTTTTTATTGGGTTCAAAGGATATTAGTTTGAAAATTTGAGATTGATTTGAAAGTTTCATACTAAAGTCATGACCATACATGAATTTATGTGAAATTTGAACTTTCCAAACATACAATATTAATAAATGCGCCCACGTTTTAAGATGTAGAACTATACAATATGGTCGAAGTGAACAAATTTGCAATTCATGTCTTTTGAACCTTAGATTTAGGGTTTTCAATCCCGGTCCAAATTCTCGATCCCGCGATCCCGGGGAATCCCGGGATTAAGAGATTATTAAAGAAGCCTTAAAATTTTCAATAAATAAAACATAAAATCTTCGTTCGAGAGAAAAATTCTTATTTTATATTTGTTCTATGTATGTTTATTGTTAATGATTAAGCAAAAAAAGAAAATTAAGTACTAATAATCTTAAAATAAGGTTTTCATTTTGGAAAGTAGGCTTTAAGAAAGCAAAGGTGATCCAAAAATCATCAATTAGTCGGGTGCGAAGTTTACTACAAAAATTAGTTGTTGATGAAAAAGCACGTTCAGATTCCACACTTGTAGGTTTGACAGTTAATAGATACTCATAAGTAAAGTTAAGCAATGACCCTTTGATGCCACTGTCGTCAAACATCACAATTTATCTCTTCAGAGCTTTTTTTCTACTCTCTTTCTACTTTGCTTTACTTTAGGAAGTGAGTTGTTAAAATATGTGAAATTTTATTCCCTATTTTGAAATTAGTCATTTTTAAGTGAAAAAATAAAATTAAGAAAAACAAATCGTAACTTACTTACATTTTTTTTTGTGATGAGGCATATTAACAAAATTTCAGTGAGTATTGTGCACGTCAGTAGTGTTTTGTAGTTTTTAAAAGCAATAAATCAAAATTTTAATGATTTTGAATTATTTGTATTTCTTGCGAACGAATTTTTATACAAAATTTAAGAATTTTTTAAAAAATTACAGAAGTCCTCGTGTTATTGATCGAGGGACTTAAGCGCAATTTTGTGTTGGCGATCAGCATTAGATTGTCTATTTATTTTGCGTTCATTTACAGATCATTAGAAGATCATTGATTTTAGTGCAATTAGCAAATAATTACAATGAATGCTTATATAGAAAAGCTTTATTATTTAACGGCCAATAAATAATTTGAAATTTTCTCGCTAAAAGCTGCAATTCAAAAACAATAACTATAGTATAATTAATAATTTGTAAAAATGAATTTTCATATAGAAAAAGTTTATCATTTAACGGTTTTTTGAGATTCAAAAATTTTTAACGGTAGAAATAAATTCGAATTTCTAAACGCTCTCATCACGTGGTTTTGTTTATAAAATATAAAAATCATTAATTATAAGACAAAAAGACTGTTTCAAGACTTTTAAATGCGTTTCCCGAAAATAAAACAATGGACCTGAGCTAATAAAACAAACTAGAACTCTCTACGATGCCACAATTGCCACTCTACGATGTCTAGTTAAAAAGTTTTTCTCCGCCCGAACGAACAGACATACTGAGATATTAAGCTACCTTTTCGAAACAAGTTTCAAAAATGCGCTAAAAATTTTAATCCCAGTGAAACCAGCTTCAATCCCGGGATTGCGGGACCAAAAAAAACGCGGGATCCCGGGATCTGGGATCCCAGGATTGAAAACCCTACTTAGATTATAAAGTTATTTTCTACTTTTTAACTATAGGTATCGATAACGTATTTTTTGTGATTCAAACTTATAACGGCTTTTTGAAATTTAAAATTATTGAAAGATGTTCATATGTTATGTAAAAATATGCTAAGCCCTAAAGAGTAGAAATTTTAATTTAATTGTACTATAATTAAGCATTTTTAAGTTTCCAAAATGCTTGAATATTGTATTGTCATCGGAAAGATAAGTGCATGCAAATTTTCAGCTCGATTGGAGCAGTAGAAGTGGTCGAAAAATTGATCGCAAGATTTGAAACCCCCCTTTCTTCCATCCCTTGGTTACGCTTGAGCAATGATTAATAAATATATCATGAAAAAAAAAGATTAAAAATTCTACAAAGATTTCAATCAAAAAACTGTTGAGCACGATGTTTTTTACTCTTTAATTTTTTTTTTTTTAAATACAGTGTTGTTTCATTTATTAATTATTAATGATTTGTTTCTTGGACTGATTACAAAAAAAATTATTCAAAAAAGGTAAATAACGTCGCTAATAGTTACATCTAAACATGAGATAAATTATTGAGGTTAGGAAATTTTTAAAAATTAATTAGTGTAAACCATGTTGAAATTTGTGCAATGTTAAAATTTGTGCGCTAGTATAAAACGTAAATTTGGTGATGATTTAACCAAATATTTGTTTGCAATTCGGTGAAAAACTGTTATTCAAATATTTCTACATCATTTTTAAAAATTCTTAAACCTTATAGCTGCTCTAAATTTAAAAAATTGGAAATCCCATACACAATTGTAATTTTCATCTTGTTATTTATTGGGACATAACCAGAGCTTATCATACGCACATCAGAATTGAAAATTCAAATTTATTTCATGCTTTATCGTTTCAAAAAGTTTCAGGTCAAAATTTTCACTGGAAGTGCTTTAAAAATCGATCTTAAAATTTCTTGTTCACAAATGATGAAATTTGTGCGGAATTTTTTGCTGAATGTTGAAATTTGTGCGCTTTTTATCAAAGAAAGCAATGAGAAATGTTGTCAACAATAAACAATATTATGGATGAAATTCATGTTTTTAGAGGTTTTATTGAATAACATGAATGGAATTGCAGGAAGTAATAACTTTATAAAATGTATATCGCTCCAAATTTTAGTAAAAATTAAGAAAATCGCTGAAAAATCCAAAAAAATTTAAAATTTGCCAGAATCATTTAAGAAGCATATCCTCTTTTTAGCTAAATTAAAGACCTTCATATAAAAACAAAACAATTTCTTTTTTTTTTCATTATGCATATTCTTTTAATTTATATTTATTTTTTAATTTATATATCTTTTTACAATCTATGCTGAATAAAGTTTAGAAAAAAAAATTTACAGGACGTCCCTGCTTTATACATTTTTTCTTGCTGTAAATCAAACAATCCATTATTATTTGAATCTTTAGTCTTGCGTTTATCTGATGGAATAAGTTTGAAAAAGCCGGAAGCCGGCTGTGTACTTCTGATGTGGCTTAAAGCTAGGGTTACCATCTAATTTTTATGAAAATACAGGACATTTGATGAATCTCCTAAAAAAAACAGGACACAAAAAAAAAATTTGAAAATAATCGGAAATTTTCGTGAAAAAAATACAGGACCTGGAACAAAATTTTCAAATTTATACAGGACAGGGTTTGAAATGCAGGACTGTCCGTTGTAGAACTACGCAGATGGTCACCCTACTTAAAGCTAATTCAGAAGTGCTTCTTCCGAAAAATCGCAAATTAAGTTCTAAAAAATAATAATAAAAATGTTTGTTTACATTTAAAAATTGAAAATAAGTCAAAGACTGCTACCAAAAAAGTGCACAAATTTTAACATTTGATCGCAAATGTCAAATATCTCTTCCCATAAGCTGCATAACCCTCAAGAAGTATTAATAACTGAAATTTTTTATAATCAGCCATTAAAAAGTTACTTGTAAATTAAATCTTCATGTGCAAAAGCACACAAATTTCAACGTGGTTTACTCTACATTAAGTTTTAAATTGTGTTACATTAAATGATGTAAAAACTATTATTATCAAAGCAAATGAATAGAAATTTTCGATATTTCTTAAAATTTCGGACTTTTCTTAGTGTTGTAAATTATATAACATTTTATGCAATTTTTAAACAAATTTATTTACAGTAAGCAATGGAAATAAACGAGCCAAGAAAATATAACAACATGAATGAACTTTATGACATTCTTAAAAATAAAAATTGTAAGAACCTTTTCTTTTTTAGAGATTGGCTTAGATTTTGGAAATTTGAATTAATTTTTCCTTGAAATTTTAGTGCCATCCTCAATTGTGATTCAACCAGTGAAAAAATTTAAAAAAAAAATCATCAAAAAATATCCAAACATTTTTTTCGGGAAAATCAAATTAAATAAAACTCAAATTGATGTTGTAGTTAAAGAAATAGACATATTTAATTTTAGAGTCGAAGAGATTATAGTTCATTTGATTTCATCAGAAATAATTCCTGCAGACCGTCCTTATCGAGATACATATTTAAACGAGGGATGCGAGTTCATAGTTAAATTTTATGGCTGCTATCAAGAAAAAAATTGCATATGTATCGTTCTAGAAAATGCAAAATATAATTTTGATCAATTTTGCAAATTACACAATGAAAGTTGCGACAAAGTAGACAAACTTAGACTTTTTCATGAGGTTGCAAAAGGTTTAAAATTCTTACATTCAAACAATATTGCTCATATGGATATTTCAACGAAAAATATTCTGATTGATAAAAATGGAAATGCACGTTTATCTGATTTCGGAGAGGCTGAAATAAATATAATTAATAGTACAATAAAATATCGTCAAAACCATCGTCAAACTATTGTAAGTAAAACTATGGTTTTTTATCGAATCTTTTTCGATTTCAAAATATTATCACTGATTATTTCTAAATTTTTTAACAATCTAAGATTAAAATCCGGCCATTTTCCATTAAGATTATTTCTAATTTTGGATTATAATAGAAAGAACTAAGCCAAAAATTTCTATATAATTTAAACTTTTGCTTTTCTCTAAGAAGTAGTTTTTACTCATTTTTCTTGTCAAATCTAGTAGATTAACTTAGATTTTTGCTATAATTCTCAAACTAATGAAGATATAAAAATTCTAAGTATATGTTAATTTAAGTAGCAAAGTATTCTACCTGAAATACATATAAAATCTTTTAATAACTTTAACGGCCTGTTTCACTAAGGTGGATCATCCAACAAACGGATCATCCAATTTTTTAATCCGAGGATAATCGATAAAATTTTATACTTCATTAAACTGCACGATGAATCAGAAAAAAATTGATTTAAAGAAAACAATTTTTCGATGATGGATTTCACAAAAAAAGATTATCCGATTGGTTGGATTAAACTGAGATTATCCTAGGATTATCCACATAATTATTCTAAAATGTTAAAACTGGGTCCCCCCAAGATTGAAAATTCGGATAATCTTCAGGATTATCCTAGGATAATCTCAGGATAATCCATATACTAAAATTATTTTTTCGCTATATTCATTATGAAATAAAAAGATTTTTTCTCAAACTAGTTTGATTATTATTTATCAATTAATTCTTCATCAGTAAAAATTATTTGGATTTTCCACGCATCGAAGAAATAGATAATCCTAAAATGAGGATAATCCACTTTAGAGAAACTGGCCAAATTTTAGTGCGTTTTAACTCAAATTCAATCAAAATAACTGAATTTATTTTTACAGGGTTATGGAGGTTTCAAAAATGCATATAATATGTCAGATAGGAAGATTAATCCTTTTTTTATAGATATATGCTCAATTGGAAAAGTTTTTATTAAAATTCTTTTGGATATCGAAGCGGACAATCAAGAAGAAGGAACACTTGTGGCAAGCTTAAATACAGCTAAAGAGATAGGTACAGTAACTGATGCTGAAGTAGAACTGGTTCTTTTTTTCCTTGAAAGTTCCAAAAAGCGCTGTGATATTACAGGTAAAAAGAGACAAATTAGTTTGTGTTAAAGAAAAATTAAATAAAATTTGTATTCTCATTAGCAATATGCTCAAATCCAGTATTTTGGCAACATGAAAAAACATATAAGTTTTTAGAAAAAGTATACCTTTATTACACTCGTCACACATCAGATGATGAACTTCTACATGCAATTAGTTCCAAAATTATGAGCAAAATCATTCCTGGCGAGAAAAGTTGGCAGTCATTTGTTCAAAGAGAAATTAGTGAAGAAATCAAAAAATTCAACAACTTAGACAGAGCAAAAATAGAATTTTCTTCAGTTTTTGGCTTAGTTAAGGCAATAATATATATTGTAAGTATTGTTATATTGCTCTTTCCAGTGAGCTTGGTACTTTTTATATTTACTATATAGTTATGTTTATCTTTTCAGCGTTGTCCAGATACAATAATAAGAAGCAAAACTACAGCACAAAATGTGTTTGCAAACAGTAGAAAAATTTTACTCGCTGATGAAAATCACGTTGAAACTTACTTAAAATCTTGGACAAATATATTTAAAAATATTGACCTTTATCTTTATTACTTTATGCAAGATGAACTTGAGGAAACTAATTCAGAATTTTATAGTATTAATTCACCAAGCAGATACTAAAAAGTTTTGAAATTAAAAAACTTTAAATTCATAAATTTTTATGGAACTTTAATTAACTGCTTTAATGTTGTGTTTTAAAATAATAAATTAAATTAATGTAATCAACGTTATTAAATAAAATATTGAATTTTTTTTTAAAAAAATTGGAAAAAATATGAAAAAGAATATATGTAAGTTTACGTTTTTAGAATAGTTAAGCAGTTATTCTTTTTTCATTTAAGCGCCATTTTGGCTTTATTTCGTATAAAATTTTATTACATTATTAATATAATTATTATTATTTAGCTTGTTATCATGAATGAATTTTGTTATCAGATTGTATTCCTTAGCTGCTACAAATACAAATGATTTCTGCGCTCTTTTTTTAGCGCATTTTTGAAACTTGTTTCAAAAAGGTAGCTTAATAACTCACTTTGATCGTTCGCTCGGCTGCAAACCGAGATAGCCTTAATCAGACATCGTTGAGAGCTCGGGATTAGTTTAATAGCTCAGTTCTATCGTTTTGTTCTAGTATCGATTAGTTAGAAAGCTTAAAACAATGGCTTTGTACTTTAAATTATGATTTCTTTAATTTCAACAGTGTAACCTGTTCAAATTTTTTTTGACTACCTCTATAAATTCAAATTTTCAAAAGTCGTTAAAATTTAAATTTCGAAAAACCGTTAAAAAAACTCTTTTTGTATGGAAATTTATTGCAATAAGTAAATTATTTAATTATACTATAATTAATTTTTTTGTAGTGCAACTTATAGCGGGAAAATTTGAAATTATTTATTGACCGTTAAATAATAAAGCCTTTCGTTATAAGCATTCATTATAATTATTTGTTAATGATGAATGATCTTCTAATCTTCTCATGATCTGTAAATGAACGCAAAATAATTACATAATCAAATACTGATCGCTAACACAAAAATGCGCTTAAGTCCCTCGATCAATAACACAAAAATTAAAAAAATCATTAGGTTTTTGTGCGGGGGATTTGCATACTTCTGTTATTTGTAAATTTGCATCCTCGATACTTATTGTTGCGAACCATGATTTATCATATGCTTACTGGTTCAATATTCCTTATTAAAATTTGAGAGTTAGTATAAATCACTTCAAATGATGATTGCTACAAGTCTATGGATCTCATAAGCGATTTAAATGCCTTTTGATAGCATGGGCATTTAAAATCAATAATTGAATGCTTTACATCTAAATTCGCATTCTTATTTTTTTTGTTATACTCGGTACAATTGTTGCAACTAACTTCTGCTGTACATTTTTCTTTTTTATGATTTCTTCCACCACACTTGATGCAAATGTTCTCATTTTCGTCGCAAATATCGCAATCACCAGCTTTGTGGAAGAAGCCGTAACATCTGAAACATCTTGGCACATAAGTACCATCGACCACATTGCATTGCTGAAAACCAAACTTAATTTTTTTTGCTTCCATAATCTTTTTAAATGTATTTGGGTCGGTAGAACAAATAATGTTGTATTTATTTTGAACTATTTTTCCTTTGTTTTTTCTTGGAACAGTAACTACATGCTCAAACTTTTGAAATATGCTGAAGTCACCAAAAATTTTTTCATTTTTTCGCTTAATTTGTTCAATAATCGCGTCACTTTTTTTTTCTTCATCACTTTTCAACTCTACATTAAGAATTTTAATTATTATTTTTTTTTTCCCCCATATGTATGGATTAAATGCATTACTGTCGCAAGTGTGGTTTTCAAACTTATTTGCTAAATAGCAATCACAATAAAATTTTCTTAAAGTATCATATTTTGAATGTTTAAAATCGTTAAAAAATGAATAACATTGAACAAAAAAATTGAAATTTAAGTTTAAGAAATATCTAATGACAGAACTTTTTTCTTTTCTCAAAAACGTTCTTGCCGACAAGTTTGTATCCTCATCTATATGTTTTGGCTATAAAAACGAAAGTTGAAATTAGTATATTAGTGTTGCATTTTATCAAAAATTTATCTTACAAAATTTCTCAAAAATCTTAAAAAATCCGATGCTGTGTTTTTATAAAAGTTTTTTAAAGTGTTTGTGTTTGCTGTTGAGTTTAAGTTTTTGCTTTTTTTATCATATTTTCTGCAGCTTTCTTCTACTGCATGAAGAATTTCATCATCAATTTTTTCCCTCCAGTCTTGATTAGATTGTTGGCATTTTAAGTTAAATTCGTTAATTAGCATCTCTTCATTTCCTTGAATGTACTGACTTGCAGTTGCAAAAAAATGTTCTATCTTACTTTCATCCCAAAAAAATGGATGATTTAACACTTGGTTAATTGTTGGTCTTATTGATGGTTCATGCTGCAACATTGAAGATATTAATTGCTCAGCTAAGGAGCGATCCCAAGAATAAAAATCCAAGGCATTATAATCAAAGGTTTTAAAGTTAGGAGGATCATAATTTTTATTTTTGTTAATGGATTTAAATGGATATTCGGTTGATAAAGCAAAAAAATAGACAACTCCCAAACTAAATATGTCGACTGCTCTTTCGTCTTTTGTGTCTTTTTTTAAGTATATTTCGGGAGCCATACAAAGATCATTAGCAGTAAACTCCTTACTATATTCCGTAATTCCTAATAAAGATTTACACATAGCCAAATCGGAAATTTTTCCAACGTGGTGATTGTCTTCTTTACAAACTGCAATGGTCCTAGGGCAGATATTTCGAAGAACTCTATTTTCATTGTGTAAACAGAATACACCTTGCGATGCTGTTTGCAAAATATATTTAATTTTGTTTGCGGTATTTGTTATATTATTTTTTTTATCTTTTATAAGTACATCTAGTTTTTGCTCAAAGTCTTCATATACAATCAATCGTTTTGTTCCATTATTAATTGTAATGATTGACTCCACATATAAGACATATCTAAATTTTGGTAGTGTTTTTCCAACTTCAAATTCTCTGAGTAAAATTTTTTTATGCTTTTCATACTCGGATTCAGTAATTTCGATTGTCGGCAACTCTTTGTTAAAATTGATACATCCAATTTGTGTTCCTTCTGGTGCTAGGACGTTAACATTAGAATTCTAAAAAAAAGTTACTGTTAAAGAATAATCTAAAGTAATAAAATCATATCGTAGTTAAATCAATTGGAAGATTCTTTCTTCACCAAAACATTAATATTTTAGCTTCCGCGTGGAAAGTGCTTTTTTATGTCGGTCAAATTTTGTCACCCAACCTACAGGTCCGCCATTTTATCCAAAAGAAATGATTTATATGTCAAAATTTAGCCCTTGTCGTCTAAAAGGGCGGAAATTATGGCGCTTTGCGTGAATCTTCTTAGTTCAGTTTAATCTGGTGGATTATAAATAAATCCAATGGATTAAAAAATAAATCAGTCATATCTCCTAATTTTAAAATTTTTTTTTCCGTGTGATATTTTAAATTAAAAGTAACGAAAAAGAGAATAATTGACTGTAAAAAGGTTTTCATTTTATTAGGTTTTGAGCTGGTTAATAAAATATTTATGTTAATCTTGATTAATTTTAAACCGGATTTAAGAGGTAAATTTTATTAATTCTGCTTTATTTGCTCAAAATGTTTTTAAATTTTCAAAAATGCATTCAAATAGCTAAAACCACTTATGGTTGATTCTAGCTGGTCTTAAAACAGTTTATGAAAATAAAAGGATAATTTTAGGAACCTTTTTTTAAAAACACTAATTATATACACACATCGGCTTCACGTGTGAATCTACTGGTTTTGTTCAGTTTGAAAAATCAGTTTTGCGAACAAAAGGAGCAATATAGCTTGACATGTCGAAAAATGAAGTTTGTGTCTGAAATTTCACATCTTCTGCAAAAAAGAGATTTCAAATCGGTTGCGGCATTGCTAGCGTCATACCTTCAAACTTATGCTGAGCAAATCTTGGTCTATCCATAAGACTTTTGGTGTTACGGTGTGAATATATCCACATTGGGTTTACCCGATACACTAATTTTCGTTTTGTGCTATTTATAAAAGAACTGTAATCTAAAGATTTTGAACTTTACACATTGCCCCAAAGTCATTCAAAGTTCGGCGAATAAAAGATAAGATAATAATTACCGGAAATAGCCCTTAAATTATAGCTCTTTAGCATTGTTACCTTCAAAAATAAACCTTCATGGCAGGAAGCTTACTTTTGTATTCCAACACTTAATTTTGGCGTTTACAGATATTTTCTCGAAATAAATTTTAAAAAATCATTTTTGCTTTCTTACCTTCCTTTTAACGACTGTTGGTCCAACATATTTAGGTTCTAACATCTCAAAAACAATTTTAGAGCACTTTTTGAAAATTGATATGTTAAATTATTTTAGAAAATCAAGAAATGATTTTATCTATTTGATCAAGCCTGACTGTGCAAAAATAAAAGTGAACTTAAAAGAACGTTAAAAATAGGAAGTGATATTTTTTGATTCACTACCTGATGTTCACTTACTCTGAGCCTGGGTTAGATACAAAAAAATTGTTATTATAACATTAATTTATACTATTTATTTTTACAAAACAATTAGCTAAGTTTAATTTTATTTAGTTTTTTAGTAGTAATATTCAGGCATATTGTTGAAAACTTTACTGAATATTTAGAATTCGATTGTAAAATTTACTCAGGGGGAATTTGCTCAGCCTAAAATTTTTTTTGAGTAAAAAATGAGTAAAAAAAAGTAAAAAGATTGAAAAAAAATTACAGAAGGCCTCGTGTTATTGATCGAGGGACTTAAGCGCATTTTTGTGTTAGCGATCAGTATTTGATTATGTAATTATTTTGCGTTCATTTACAGATCATGAGAAGATTAGAAGATCATTCATCATTAACAAATAATTATAATGAATGCTTATAACGAAAGGCTTTATTATTTAACGGTCAATAAATAATTTCAAATTTTCCCGCTATAAGTTGCACTACAAAAAAATTAATTATAGTATAATTAAATAATTTACTTATTGCAATAAATTTCCATACAGAAAGAGTTTATCATTTAACGGTTTTTCGAAATTTAAATTTTAACGACTTTTAAAAATTTGAATTTATAGATGATGATGATGGGTTCCTATTGCTCCACTATGAAGCGTAGGGCGTCCACAAAGCATTTGAATCGCACTCGATTCTGGGCCAAAGCTGCTGCCCAACAGTTGTACGCCAAGTAATTCTCCGTCGGCCACTATGGGGCAAAATGAAAAAAAAAGGGACTTTCACTTTGAAAAATGGACTTTTCCGATTTACACTTTTTGGGTGATTTTTTCTTGTAGAGGACATAAAAGTAGATAGAAATGCCAAATTTCAGGTCATTTGGTGCTGATTTCGCGATTCTAGAGCTGTTTGAAGTTGAAAACTAGTGAAAATTCTGGTTTTTTCATACCATGTTTGAACCGGGAAATATCTTAACTGGTTTAAGATATTGCAAAACGGTTTTCAGTTCCTATTAGTAGTATATAAGAGCTTTATTTTGACATATAACAAAGTTTAGGTTCTGAATGTTTTCGTGCCATTATGGTAGAACATATGTGAAAATTTCAGGAAAATTATCTTCAAACAAGCCGCAACTATCATAAATGAAGAGTTTCCAGGCAAGTAAAAACGCAGTTTTGTAGCCCCATATATCTAGTTTTCAAAACTGTATAAACTTTGAAAAAGTAAGCTAACGTAATTGAGTTATGTTGATTTTAGTAGGTCGTTGAGTATTTGGCCAAAAACTAATAATTCTTTTAAAAATACGAAAACATAGTTTTAAAAATAGTTTTTTGGTGTTTTCTTATGAAAAATAACAATTTAAATGATTTTGTGAAGAAAATTTTTCAAAAACTTCAAAATCTTTCGAGATATAGGGGGTATGTGCTCTCCATCGATTTGGCCATTTGTCACCCTACTTAAACCACTATAACTTTTTTTTGAAAAAATATTTTTTAATTCTGTTTTCGGATTATTGTAGCCTAATGTAATACCTATCCAACGATATATAATACTTGCTAGTTAACTTAGTCCTGGTTATTTATAGGGCTGTTGATTGTGACATACGCAGTTTTTGAAATATTCCCAAAAATTGCATTTTCAAAAATACCACTTTTAAGCAATCTCGAGTATTTTTTTAGAACTTTTTTATGTTTATTTATGACATTTATGAGATTATAAAGCCAAAAAATTAAATTTAGAAACTTTTTACTTCCCTAGTTAACAACTTTGTAAAGTACCCTTGGTAGTCACTATCAGGTGTGAAAATCTCAGTTTTGAAACTATTTTATATATATACTCGTGAAATTCTCTCTACACATCATATCAGTTTTGAACTTCATTGAACAAGTCACTTTCAAAAATGAACCAAAATTCAACACTTACGAAGAAAACACTCTGTGAAATTCTTCGCGACAAAACGTTAAATCTTGCAACACAGCACACGTACTGTTTGGCAGTAATAGAAGAAATTCATGGGAGAGAATTAGCGGAATCACAGAAACCAAGTTTAATTAATAAATTAAACAAGCTGAAGTCAAAGTCAAAAATGTTTTGTAATCAGTCAAATTGGAATAATGCATTAAGAGATCATGCAGATTTCTATGAAGAGGAATTTGAAGTTGACTCACGATACTTCAGCGAATCTAGTGGAGGGATTCTTTTTGAGGAAGAATCTATATATGAAGCAGAAAATGTTACTGACACAGATGAAGATATGGATGAGATTGAATACATCGTCCATGACATAGAGCCTTCATCCAGCAAGGGCATCAAGAGGAAATCATTTGAACAACTAACAAGCGATAAGCATCGACGTAGAAGAGTGGACGAATTAGATATCAGTTTAAAAGAAGCAAAAGGATCATTGTTATCAGTTCTTCACTTGGCACTTCGCCTTTCTAAAGAAGAAGGAAAAGTAGAAGGAGCTAAAATGTTAAAAGAATTTATTAAGGCGTGCCAAAAAGGAGAGGATCTTCCAGAAAAAACTACATCAAAACCTAAACAACTAGATATACATGTAGCTCTAGGTGTAAAAGCCTTTAACAATTTATCTCGAAATCAGTACAACAATATTCGACAAGTCCTGAAACTGGAATGCGAAAACGTTTTACCGACAGCTAAAAAATTGTTGAGGTTAGAGAAACAATGCTATCCTGATGACATAACGGTCACCGATACAAGAGCCGTTATTCCACTAAAAAATTTGACACAACTCACCACAAAAAGAGTTATTGAAGCACACAATTCAGAAATATACGACAAAATCAAAATATTACCTTCAGAATCAACTCCAAAAGTTATTCATGCAGAAATGATCGTCACATGGGGGATGGACGGAACAACAGGACAGTCACAGTATAACCAAGGAAAAACAAATTCAAGAAATCAAGAACGAGATAGAACACAACCGAATCAAACGACTAATAATGAAATTATAGAAGACAAATCACTATTGACAGTTAGTATGAGTGTTCAGCAACTACGACATGAAGACGAAAACGGAAATTATATCTGCTTATGGGACAACGAAAACAGTCAATCTGTATACTCAGTACGACCAATACAACTTGAACATGCCAAAGAAACCAGAGTAAATGTTAGAAGGATATATGAAGATATAAAAAATCAAATATCAAAACTTGAACCACAGAGATTCATATGTGAAGACATGCTTTTGGAAATTACGTACAAATTCTACCCCACAATGTTAGATGGAAAAGTTTACACAGACCTTACAGAAACATCAGGATATTGCAGATGTCAGCTTTGTAGATCTGGACCAAACGAGATGAGTGACATAAATAATCTTGATAATGGAAGATTCGAAAAAACACACAGAAAATTTGTTAAAGAACACTTGTATTTCAACACTCAGCCACTTCATACATCAATGAACGTACTCACGACTCTATATGATTTGTCATATAAACAATATGTTCAAAAACACTGGCTGGAGATAACTGAAGAGGAACAGATTGTTTTAGATGTTGAAAAGGCTAGAATAAAGCAAGCAATGTGGGATGCATTTAATGTTCGTGTACTCGAACCAAGACAAGGGGGAGCTGGATCATCAGATACAGGAAACGTTGCAAGAAAAGTTCTTGAAAATCCAGAGCTTCTAGCTAAAACTCTATATCTTAATGAAGAAATAATTAAACGTATATGCTATGTGCTAAACCAAATTCGAAGTTTAGAACCAGTTGATGATCTAGATGAATTTGATAGGTACTGTAAAGAAACATACAGAATGTTTTTGACAACATATAGTTGGTTCAAAATACCAGTAACACTTCACAGAGCACTTGCTCATGCAAAACACTACATGGAAGCCTTACCATTACCTCTAGGAAGAATGAGTGAAGAAGCCGGGGAGTCACAAAACAAATATCTCAGACAAGATAGAGAACTACGTGCCAGAAAAACTTCAAGAATACACAGTTTTACGGATGTTATACATAGAAGACTCTACAGTTCTGATCCAGTAATAATAAAAAAATATATGGATGTAATAAATAAAAGGTTAATGAGAAAAAATGTCCAAGAAGAAGGTGAAACACCTGAGCAACAAACAGAAAATGAGGAAGAAGATGAGGAAGAAATTGAATTGATTGAGCCAGAAGGAGAAGGTTATGACTTTTCCCAAGCAGAAAACTATGATTATTCCGAAGGACAAGACCATGAATATTCTGAAGAAGCAAACAACGAATGAATAAATAAATTTCATTAAATATGATAAAAAAATGTAAATTAAATTTCTTGACAAATAAACAAAATTTCATTAAACTAAAAATTAAACTTTATTAATTTTACCTATTATAGTTGCGTATCAGAGTATTTTTTTTATTACTCTAATGATAATAGCTTTTTTCAGACTTAACATTTCTTAAAAAAGTCCAAAAAATACTCGAGATTGCTTAAAAGTGGTATTTTTGAAAATGCAATTTTTGGGAATTTTTCAAAAACTGCGTATGTCACAATCAACAGCCCTATAAATAACCAGGACTAAGTTAACTAGCAAGTATTATATATCGTTGGATAGGTATTACATTAGGCTACAATAATCCGAAAACAGAATTAAAAAATATTTTTTCAAAAAAAAGTTATAGTGGTTTAAGTAGGGTGACAAATGGCCAAATCGATGGAGAGCACATACCCCCTATATCTCGAAAGATTTTGAAGTTTTTGAAAAATTTTCTTCACAAAATCATTTAAATTGTTATTTTTCATAAGAAAACACCAAAAAACTATTTTTAAAACTATGTTTTCGTATTTTTAAAAGAATTATTAGTTTTTGGCCAAATACTCAACGACCTACTAAAATCAACATAACTCAATTACGTTAGCTTACTTTTTCAAAGTTTATACAGTTTTGAAAACTAGATATATGGGGCTACAAAACTGCGTTTTTACTTGCCTGGAAACTCTTCATTTATGATAGTTGCGGCTTGTTTGAAGATAATTTTCCTGAAATTTTCACATATGTTCTACCATAATGGCACGAAAACATTCAGAACCTAAA